TCTCTCTCNCTCTCTCTCTCTCTCTCTCTCTCTCTCTCTCTCTCTCTCTCTCTCTCTCTCTCTCTCTCTCTCTCTCTCTCTTTCAAGGCTAAACGACGTCCCTCGTCACCGCTGAATAATTTACGAGCACCGTATAATTACAATCTGCTTTCACTTATGTTCAACTATTATCTACGAATCTAAAGAAAATTCTGTTATAACAACGTGTCTTGTTCGTCAAATTTTCACCTCATTACCGAATTTGGTCACCTTACCCTAATAGCAGATCGTTAGGAAGTGTGGGTATGAAAGAGTTATTCGAATCATAGAAATTCAAATTCTTCTCTACTCCCAGCAAACATAGAACATCGCGCAATATTGTAGCAACGTTACAGCAACCTTACAGCAATATTATAACATTGCCGCAACGTTATTGCAATGCTCTGTGTTTGCTGGACTGTCATCTTTTGACTCGCCACGATTCGCATTTCGAATAATTCGCATAGCTCTGCTTTCTGACGTACTTACTGATAGAGAAGTTGCGTATGCTCCATTCTTTGACGTGATAGCGTATGTCATGGAACGACAGGTCGATATGAGGCCTCTGCGGGAAGGAGCGGATCTTCTGTTGCAGGAAATAATTGTTGTTGCCTATGATAGCCGAGCTTCGCATGTCGTCCTGGCTGTTACGGTCGAACTGGCAGCAATTCAGAGACGATCGCGACGGCGAACAGTGCGTCGGGTTGGTCATGGCGAATACGGACAACAATGATAATTCGAGACGCAAGCTCGCTCGCGTACATACGACGAAAAAAAAATGAAGAAGAAACGTCACAGTATCTCGGGTACCATTCGGTCGCGTTTCAGCGCGCACACTGCGTTCGCGTTCACTGCACTCTCTTTCGATCCTCTTCTGATTCACTGATAAAAATGTAACGTTGTTCGTTGTTCGCTGTTCACGCGGTGACTCGCTCTCGCATAACTTATTAGTTCAATCTGAAACAATAAGTCAGACATTAGAATTGAGATTTAATAAGAATTAAGATTTATAAGAAGGAATGCGCTCGTTTAAAAGCAAAAGTTATATGAATGAATAAACGGCCAACTCAGCTTGAGCCATTAAAAGATATCACCAGGTTCTCAAAAGTTCAAGCTTATTCGTCAATTAATTAAAAAATTGTATGTTACGCCCTAACTTGGTCATCTTCAGCAACACATAGTTTAAAGAAACGAAAGGAAACATTCTTAACGCATTATCTTAAATTTGAAAATAAGAAAAATTTCTATAATACTATAATACTAAAACGATTTTGTCTCGTTTGTTTTATTCATACTGCTGCATAATCTCCTTTCCAGGGAGGAAAAAGATTGTGCTCGTAGAAATCTAAGTGTGTGAAATATTGTCGATTTTGTTATACTTTTAGTAAAAATTTCGATTATTTAAATTGTAGCATGTGCACGCGACAATTTGATGACACAGCGATATCTTGTTTGTTTCATTCACACCGCCACATAATTTCTCTTTCGGAGAGAACAAAACTTAGGCTCGTATATGTAACTTTGTATTTATCCGGTCTTTCCTGAATGCTCGTTCATTAGAGCCGCAGGGAGAGTTATTAGGTAATTATAATCTCTGAGTTGCAGTGTAAGGCCTTCGTGACTATCGGCGCGTCGGGCCATTATATGTCAGATCAAGGTGTCGTGTACATATTACAAATTAGATAAGCAAAATCATTAATGAGAAGATAATAAAACCGGCAATGTTCCATACATCTATAAGTATATTACACTTACATATAGCTCGTTCGTTAGAGCCGCAGGAAGTAAATAATAATTTTTTATTTGCAACGGTGCAAGGTCTTCATGAGTATCGCCACGTCGGATCGTACATGTCTTGTCAAATAGTCGTGTACATATTACAAATTAGATAAGCCAAATTTTTCACGAGAAGATAACAAAACCGACAATGTTTCATATGTATCTAATTTGTAATATACACACGACAATTTTTACCAGACATATATGGTCCGACGCGGCGATGCCCGTGAAGACTTTACACTGTTGCAAATGAGAGATTATTCATTATTGCGGCTCTTATAAACGAGCAGTTAGAAGAAACCGGACAAAGTTGAAAAATAATCGCGCAAAACAAGCTGACTTGTTTAACCGGACTGTCAGTTGTGTGAGTGCCGCTGTCAGAATTGCGTAGCACGAGAGATGCGTAAGAAGTCCCATTGTCCTTAACAAAGATCCAAAAGAGAGGATACCGAATTGTTTGCACGCTTTACAGTTGATTCAGTCTATCCGATACGGACCGTCACGTTCCGACGATGACACGGATCGGCATGACGCGATTTAAACCGCGTGCGTTTCAGACTGCTTCGGTAATCATCCCGTCAGTTAACGTTTAGTAGTCACAACGCAATGGATGGGTCATACAGCGATGATGAATCCGTTCTTATTACTTTACTTCTAGATAAAGCGAAGTCAAAGATCAAAAAAATAAAGACAATAATAAAAAATGGGTACATAAAATATTAAGAAAAAAAGAAAAGAGAGCGTAGACATTGTTCAAAGACTTATAAAATATGAGGTTTTACCAGTATTTCACATTTTCTTTGAATACAGTAGCACTGTATTTCAGATGGCTCATCACGTACAAAGGACTTAACATTTTCAATCAATTTTTCTAGATCCAACTCTTCTGCTACACGTCCGTTCCCTACCGTTTGCTGATTCACACTGGCAGATCAGCACCGACATGAACCGACAAAATATTCTTTACAATTTTTCAGAGACTTTCCGAATATAGTTTCGCGTACATTTTATTCAACCGCTTCTCAAAAATTCTTTTATCCATTAATACGCTTCAAGGGAACCAAATTATTGTAATAATGAATTTTCGCTGTAGTCCAACTTTACGCGAAGATTTACTCTTCTTAATATTTCGTTTCTAGCTTTTTAAATTATTCATGTTATTATTTTTACTGCTCCTTGATAATTATGATTAATAAACATTTTATTCATTGTTCGCAGTTTTCTATGGGATTAAGATTTGACTGTTACAGGTAACCGTAAGACTCGGTTTTACATTTTCTGGTTAACTGTTAACCAACGGATGAAAAATTAGGCTCAAGAAAGAGAATGCAAAATAAGAGAAAAAGAAAAACAAGAATCGATGTGACTGCAAATCAAGAACATGAAAAAAATTAGTACTGTGAATTTAACAAGTAATGATGAAAGAAATAAAAATAGTATAACAATTAACAATGGCTCGTATGATAATATCAAGTACAATGAAAGGGGCTCACAGCCTGAACAGGATTGTAATGTCCGACAAAATTAATTTATTACCAAATGTATATATACGTTTCGGTCCCTATTGGACCATCCTCAGTATAATGAAGAAAATAAATAAATACAATTAAAGTCGATCGGCGAATCAAAAACACACATAGACTACGCAGTTAGTAATACAAAAATGCAATAAATCGAGAGACAATAATACAAAAACGCGGCGCAAGTGGATATAAAATCACGAGTCAAAAAGTAAAAACAGTAACAGTCATATAACGGCAAAAAATAAGAGATGGAAGTACAAAATAAACGGCGCAAGTGAGTGACATGATAATAAAGTAAAAAATTGTGGCCGTGTTGGGCTATTGATGACGATACGGTAAATAAAAATAGGATAGAAAGCGAAAGTTACGTCATATAATAACTATAACATTTACATTTCAGATTATTTTATTAAAAACATTTTTGTACGCTGAACAAGTAGCTATTACACGAATAAATAGTTACATACTTCATTTCCTGGATACAAAATCATTAAACATTATTACTGGCCTGAAAAAAATTAAACATTGCACATAAATTAATCAATACGTGTGTAACTTTGCAAATTCATCTTCGACCGCAATCAGACATTTTATTGCGTAACCTATAGACCATAATAAATCCAGACTAAAGCCCACTTTACACGATCTATAATTCGCGACAGAATTCAAGATAGAATTCTATTTTATAATTTCATATATTAAATTGACATATATGTTTGTAGATTAGGTTAGTGTAGGTTATAACATTTACATGGATGAGGTCCGTTTTCCCTGCCGATTGGACACAAATACTCACAGCAATCAATGCTTAAGGTTTTTTTATTAGACCAGATACAATTAATCAATCACGCATTTTCATGCACTACACAATATTTGATGCATCTTTTCTATTTACAAAATTGGAGCATTATAATTATAATTCTGATTGTTCAAATGTTTTCTGTATTACACGATACATAAAAATTTTTAAATGGAATCCTGTCTCGAATTCTGTTGCGAATTATAGATCGTATAAAGTGGGCTTTAGATAACAAAGCGGCGCACGCGATACAAGTTTTTATTTTTTTCAAAGTGACAAGGAGATGTCATAATTTAATGCGTATCTGACAATAAGTTTTTCAACCGATTATGTAAAATAACACGTAATACGATACTTTTTTTTTTATCGTTCGTAACAATATCATATCGTCATACATTTCTTGCGTAAATATCATCAATAATTTTATCGCTGTACGAATACGGCATCTGCAAAAAGTAGTCATAAATCAAGTTACACATGATGCTTTGATGATAAAATTGATCAAACTTCAACTGACGATTATACTATCGACATGTAGAAGAAATTGAAGATACTTTCCTACGATCTTGCAGAAAAAAAATCTTTAGCCGCGTCTTAGGCTGCATTAGGGGAGACGCTATTAGCGCTGAGAACATCAGTCTACCTTCGTCACTCACTACATATTGAACAAAGATAGAAGACGCCTTTAGCGCTAAAAGCGCGCTCCCCGATCGCACCTACAATTCGTCACTTTTTGCCGCTAATTATTATCAGATAACAGCTAATGAAATATACACAAGATCAGTGAATCTCGCTATTGCAATTATAGTTAAGTAAATCTACGAGTATTTATGTAATAACAGCGGATGCTAAGAAAGCTTCTAGTGCAACGTCCATGCGGCCAACGACTGACGGAGACAAAGATTGAGAACAAGCAAAATCGGGGCCGAACACACATTCGTATTACACGTGATCGCACGAGTGTGCTCTGAATTTTACGGGAAGCCTATCTCGCGTAGACGGGAAAGACGGCTAGCTTCCTCAAGGCTATCCGCGTCAGTGATAATAAGTCGATCGTGTTACTCAGCGCGTGAAATTACCACAACGAAAATGTACTTTATCAAGATCGGACTTTGAGAGTAGCGAGGGGTATCCCTTAGGAATTTTGTTTACAAAGATTGGGAGGAGACCGCGCTAATGTGTTACACAGACGTCGAAGAAACTGCTGCATCGCGAGGTCATTCACCAACGAATTCGCGTCTTATCGCTGCTCGTAAATAAGCTACATTCAATTTTACATCGGCGATTTCGAGACGATGACTGCGAGTTTACGCAGCTTGTGACAGAAAAAAGTTATCAAACAGAGTTTTGTCAAAAGCATCGTGCTTTTTTTTGCATACTCGTTTTTCGATGCGTTCGTAAAGATGTTGCCCGTAATCACGGCGTTTGTACGTATGTAAATATGTGAAATCCGGTATCTATTCTCGCGTGAATCACAATTCTTTGAAGCGTCGAACTTGACTACACAAAGACACTTCCTGTCATTCAAATAGCATGATTTGGTGGTTCTCACACGATCGTCGTGCCTAAAATAATTTAACGCGTATCTAATAATAATTTTTTTTCAACCGATAACGTAGAATCTTTCGAGATTTAGTGATTCATCGCAGATAGCTAATCGTTATCAATCTCGCAGGGAGATTTATGAGGCCAATGAAATAATTACACGCCGGGCAGACAGAAATGTTGGCAGAGAGTAATGTTTCGGCTCGCATTGGCCTTACGTTACGTTCACATTGATTTTGGTTCAACAAACCGCAAATTTTACTTTTACTTCGACCGTGAACTGCACGAATTCCCGAACACGATTATCCGGCACGCGACCGGCGATCGGAAAACGACTCGCGCCGTTGCACGCGCTCTGGATTTCGTAATCTGTCCCACGTGTCTCCGAACGAAAAAAAGACAAAAGGAAAACAGATAAGAAGGGATCATTTGAGTTTCAGTTAAAGAAAACAATCGAATAAAAAATTTCCGAGACATCTAAAAGTTCTGAAAACAAGGGTGGAGGGCATCTGAAACAGGTTACAATATTGAGTCGGTCTTAATAATAAAAATTAATAAATTAATACAGATTGCAATTGAAGCCCCATGACTTGAAAAACCCCCTTGGATCTATTTACGATCGAAGAATCGCGCGAAATCTAGGCGGTCGCGTGTCTATATTTTTGCTTTGCTTAATTGTGACGGCGAATTATTTATTTCTTTAATCGGCCACGTGGATCAGAAAGTCATTAACATGCTTAATGTGTTGTATCATCGGTATCCATCAAATTTGACATGAGTGTGCAAACACATTATCGTTGTACATAGAAGATTGAATCACGATCATTATTATTTATATATGATAGCAGTACTAACGAAGATGACGTAATCTTTAGTGCGTGCATTCAACGAAATCAAGTACACGTGTTTGCGCGCGATAATATTTTTTTAAGTATTATCAACAACCACCCGCCGCCGCGCTTGAAAATAACTACAGTTTCCGATTGTCTTCCCTACAGTTTCAGTGACAATCTCACGTTCTCTGGATTTAGTTGGGTGAGTGGATTTTACTTCTTTTTACCCGTTAATCCTGATCTGTATTTCTGCTCCAAATAAGAATATTATAATAGCATAATTTTTCTGGTATTCCCTTTTCAAAGTTACGCCGCGTTGTACATTCAATTCTTAAATACACACCTAATGCTCGTCGGAGAACGTGAATATAATTACTTTATTTATGTGTCTATCTATCAACACAATGCTGAAGATGGCTCAAAGTAGTACTATATTTTTTCTCTCTCATGCTCTAAAATAAGAGATTTGCCGATATCAAGGGATTAATAGCACTGACTCTTACGCCCGTTTCTACCAATGCAGTTTAACTCAGTTCTTGATCTCGGTTCAACTTACTTTATATCTATTTTTTGTTTGACGAATCAGAAAAAGGTAAGAAGTAACTTGAACCGATGTTAAAGTTAATCTGCATTGGTGGAAACGGGCATTATTAACATAATCATTTCGTTAAACATTTAAAATAAGTTTTACAGGAAAGAATTAAAGTATTTCTGGGGGGAATGTAACTGTAAAAGAAGAAATTTTAATATTTCGCGAGAGACCGTGAAAACTGAATAAAATCTCTGAACGATTTATTGTAAAAAACGTTATCTCGAACGTGAAAAACGTTCGTTGTAATTACTATTGTTATTGGATATAAGAGGGAAAACATTCTTCTTGTGATCGCGAGTATAATTAATCCACTAATGAGTACATTAATGACTTAATTATAGCATAAGCAAAAAGTAGACCAATTCGATAGGAAAAAAACCAGGGTGACGAACATCATAAAGTATTCTTATCAAGTTGCGATAACTACGAAGGCTACCGCATGCTATTAAACGCGCGGATACAATGAACGCGCTTCGTTTTACCCAATCACGTTGTCGTTGCAATTGTTAATTGTTTGAAAGTAAAAATGTCTGTGTAAAAATAGCTGTGGAGAAAAGCAAATAGCTTCTCCAACAGTTCCGTTCTCCGCGGAATGGGGTGTTAATGAAAGCGGTTTTCCGAAAATCAGGGCCTCTCGACTTCAACTTTTTGATACAATTAATTGGAGAAAACCCAAGATCCAGCCTTGTTTCGGCCAGACTGAACCTTGGTAGCTCAGCAACAATATTTTCGTGTGAATTTTCTGTACTTTTTCAATCCTTGTAAATTGAGCGTCCATTATTTGTCCTGAAACGCAGCTTCTTGTTGAAACACCAAACCCGTGTGCTTTAAATCGAATAATCTATTTAACTTTCGATAAGCATTATATTAAAATTACTGGAGAGAATTCATGAGAAATATCACCTCAGCTAGAATTCAACGTTTTATCTTATTAATAGATAATAATTTATTTCTGTAAATTATTTATTTCAACTTATAGCCAAGAAGAGAACTTGGCTTACAATTCAAAAACTGAATACACTCTTATCCAGCGTTTTGTTTTATACAGGGTGAAAGTGAAAAGCAGGGAGAGACAGGGAGAAACCGGGAGAGACACGGAGAGACAGGAAGAGACAGTGAGAGTCAGGGAGAGACAGGGAGAGACACGGAGAGACATAGAAAGACAGAGTGAGAGAGAGAGAGGAGGGGGAGGAGGGAGAGAAAGAAAACTCTGAAAGATCGTCCACTAATTACATAACGTTGTTTCTTATTAAAAACTGAGTCGAAAAGTTCTGAACCATTTTTGTCTATAATGCTTAATAAAAAAAAATTGGTAAGCAAAGTCGAACGAATTAGCGCTGATCTTTAACCAGACGCACGTCAGTGAGCCGCGCGCTTAGTAGTTGCGACGCACACTACAGGGCGCGTGGTTCATTGATGTGCTTCCGGCTAAAGATCGGCGCAAATTCGTTAGATTTTACTTAAAATTTTTTTTATTAAGCATTATGTATAGAAAAATGGTTCAGAACTTTTCGACTCAACTTTCAATCAGAAACAACACTATGTAATTAGTGGGCGGTGTTTCAGAGTCACCCTGTATATCGCGTGAGAATAACGCAGGAAATAATAATAACAGCAGTAACGAGAGGCTCGTTGCGCCGTTGAAGAAACTCTCGTGCCGAGGAAGGCACGGAATAAGTGAAAGAGGAAATTAGAGTCACGTGGAGACGTGGAAGTAAGCGTGAATAAACGAGGAAACGTCCTACTTTCACGAAGCTAACGCACAGGTACGCCGTTGGTCTCGATATAAATTTCAATTGCGTATTCCGCAGGTTTTGTCAAGAGCCGCGGCGACGCGACGCGATAAATCGTCGTTGACTTTTAACGACACCGCTCCGCGACAACCGCGATCCATATTTCCTCTTTTGTCCGGCTCGTTCTTCGGTTCATGATCAACGCGCGCCCACGTTGCGCACGTCTTCCCTATGCGTCACTCACAATTTACGCTCTTGCGTCGCCTTGGAGGAAACCTTATTAAAAACGAGGTTAAATAAAGGTCGTTTGGAACCCGTTTGTCCGTCAACCGAACGCGATCGAAAGGCGGAAACGAGTTTTTATTTTTTTTCCTCTCCAGCTTATTTTTTCTTTCCCTCTCTCTCTCTCTTTCTCTTTCTCCTGGAGACCGATTCACGCCGTCTTTGTGCGTCGTGAAACTTATCGTCATCGGTACCGATTTCACGGCCGCGCGATCTGACCTTGTTGATTATATTATATTATAACAGGGAGGGAACAATTACGAGTCGAACGCTCGCAAGCTGCTCGCGGCTCGCGGAAATAACGATGACTTACCACAACGATTTCGCTAGAAATTGCACAACGGACGAGCGTTCTAACGGTATCTGGAAAATAGTTCGGCCGCAACCTCCGGCGTTTTTAAGCCTCGCGCCAGTGGAGTTCGATCGCTCGACTCGTTCGAATCGTCCCGGCCGCCCTTCACGTGCCCTGCGACGAGCAAACGTACCATTTTCAATTATATATCTCATTATTTAACAGAGATATAACATTGCTTATGCATCGTCAATCGCGTTCAACTCTCAAAGCCCCCATTTCACTGATTAAATTATTTCACAAGTACGTGAATTTTTCTCATAGACACATAAGATAAACTAATTCCGTTTAACTCATTTTTGTCTCTTTCTAAAAAGACAGAACGAGATAAAGGATGAAGTAAACTAACAATAAGATCAAAGTTAAACGACGTTGGTGAAATCGGACGGGCCGATGACCGTCAGCAATACCTATCCTTGGCAGAACGAAAAGATAAGCAAGACATCGGGGAGGCTTTGTCTTTCTTTATCCTTCGGGTGAGACAAGTCACTGTTTGTACAGCTATTGGACAGCAAAGGACAGAATGTCTGTTCGCGTCGCATGCCCCGCATGCTCATGTTTGCCCCAACGACCAATACCGTCACGTAAATCGTAAATAAAATGACGGTATTGGTTGTTGGGGCAAGCTGGAGCAAGTTGGGGCATGCGACGCAAACTGACCTACAGATTCACCTATGTTTCGCCCCCCCCCTCTCTCTCTCATGATAAATTAAACCGTAGGCAAATGCATGACATGACTGAGTTTATTTTAAGCATCGATATATAGAATGAACCGCTGATCGCAGTGGCGAGGATACCCGCACGAGTAGAGTGAGAAACGGATAATATGAGAATAATACACGTTTCGTATTTTCAGTAAACCCAGAGTTGGGAAGCAACTCGTTACTTGTAACGAAGTTACAGTTACTTTTGCTAACTCTAACTTAACTTCGTTACTTTCTCTCCATCTGTAACTGTAACTTAACTCAGTACATGTTTTCTCCAACTAGTAGCTAATAATTTAATAGTGATATTAATAGACATTAATAGTTACTTTATATTTCAAACCTCCACACGCCGCATTAGGCCTAGTCTTTGCGCATAAACGCCTTTATCGACGCTTTGCAATTCAAATGCAGATTTGATATTTTTATTTTCATCGCGAGAAAGTAACTGCAAAGTAACGATTCGTTACTTTTTGAGTAACTGTAACTGTAATGCGGTATTTTTCAGAATTGATAACTTGTAACTCTAACTAGTTACATTTTTCGCGAAAAAAACACTGTAACTGTAACTAGATACTTTTTTACAAAGTAACTTCCAACCCTAAGTAAGCCTGATTGGTTGTTAAAAAAAATTACAGTAACCAATCAGACTTAATAAACAGAGACGGAATGTGTCCTCATATGGGCAACCTCCATTCGTACACGTAACCATTAGACACCGCTCGATTGGACACGCACTATTGGACACGTTAGTATTGGACACTGCATTATTGGTCACCGCATTATTGGACACTGTGAATTTAAAAGAGTGAGATGCGTAGGGATCTTGCTAAAAGCGCACACACACACACACATACACACGCGCGCGCGCGTGTGCGGGGTGCGCACCCCTTCCCGTATCCTCCCCGCTGGTAGGAAGTGTGGACCATTTTGTAATGTTTGCGTCCAATAATGCGGTGTCCAATACTGCAGTGTTCAATACTAACGTGTCCAATAGTTCCGTGTCCAAATGAGATACGCCTTCTTCATATTATCGGCCTCTCATTCTACTCATGCGTTACCCCCACCACTGCGATCAGCAGTTTAGTCTAGAACCGGTATTTATAGTCAGATCTTATAAATATTCAAGATCGTCATGAATTTATGTAAAGATGCTGTATGGGACATTTAATTAGTTGCGGAGTATCTAAAGACGATCTTAAGACGGTCGTGAAATGATCGGTGTAAACTAGACTAATGTGACGCTAGCTTAGGGCCAGTTTCACAAACATCGGTTAACTGCTAGCCGAAGGTTAATTGATTCTCTGTTTCTTCTTAAGTAATAAGATGGAACAAGAAATAGGAAGACGACTGAACCCTAGTTAACCGATGTTGTGAAACTGGCCCTAAGCTAGCGTCACTTTAGTCTAGTTTGCACCGATCATTTGATACGCATGTCAAATAGTGTATTTCAGCCGATCAGCCGATAACTAAATCCACTTACTGATTATTTACTATTTGATACGCGTATCAAACAATCGGTGTGTAAACTAGGCCGTTATGCGCAATTTGTAGTGCGCGATTCGTGATTCGTTGGACATTCGTTATTACTTCCCACACAGCAAAACAAGTTTCAGAAAGCTTTCCGAAAGATAACTTGGAAACTAATATTGAAATGTAAAATTGAAATCATTCAGAAATATCTTTGAAACGTTTCATCAAAATCACATGTCATTGAAAGCTTTCCAAAAGATACCTTGGAAATTAATATTGAAATGTAACATTGAAATCATTCAAAAGTATTTCTGAAACGTTTTATCGAAATCATTTATGATCCTTCTCACTGAAATATTTCAGAAATATTACGAAACATTTCAGAGAAATATTTCGTACGTAATCTCTAAATTCTACGCGGACATTTCATGTATCTGAAACATGTCTGAAATATTTTTTGAAAGGTTTCATATTTCATTGACAGCTTTTTGAGAGCTTTCTGAAATATTTCGGTGCTGTGTGGGATAGCACTAGTACCACTCAATGCCGCGGCGTGGCGACCGCGCGTTAGTCTTTCTCGTAAGTAAAAATCATTCCGTATTAGTATAAGAGGCGAGCCGATATGATGCAACAGCGACTTGTCTGGATCATGAATAATCTTCAATAACCTGATATATACTTTTGATGACTTCCAGAAAGTAGACGTTCAATGGACACCCACGCAGCAAAACAAATTTCAGAAAGCTTTCCGAAAGATAACTTGGAAATTAATATTGAAATGCAATTAATAGCGAAATGTAAGATAGAAATCATTCAGAAATATTTCTGAAGCATTTCAGAAATATTTCCGACGCATTTCAAAAATATTTCCAAAGCATTTCTAAAGTATTTCTGAAGAATTTCAGAAATATTTCCGACGCATTTCAAAAATATTTCCGACGCATTTCAGAAATATTTCCGAAGCATTTAAGAGATATTTCTGAAGCATTTCAGAAATA